AGTGCAGATAAAACTACCTACACCGATGGCAACGATGAAAATCATTGATTGAATACCTTCGAAAATGTGTATATTTACAACCAGTCTTTATCAAAAATTTGAAAGTTAAAAATCGACTTGTTCTATTGGAATTGACTTTTGTTTTTTCAGACCGTTATTTGTGGCAGAAATACGATGCATTCTATATCTCCGAGGGATTGTTTGCTATAGCCAATGTGCTGAGTTTCTCTCGTATATCTGCCCTGTTACCAGCGAATTCCACGGTCGGACCAACACAGATCTCTCTCGGGCGAATGGTGAAGGTAAAAACTTAATTTTCACAGTTTGGTCCGTGTATGAGGTTACGATTTCGACGAAATTGTTTATAATTAACTCTCTTATATACACGGATCAAAGTTTACAAACGGGCATGTTGTGTAGTAGGAATTGCCAATCAAAAACCGCTTACAAAGGAGTAGCATCCACCAAGTTGAAAACCATTTTGACCATTTAAAAGCCCATTACTTTGAAGACCATTCTGTGAGTCCACGGTACTTTAAATTGTCGCAGTGAGTACAAGGGCTTTCACTCGAAGTTTTAGCAATTTTTTACCCAAATTACTTTGAAACACATTTTATTGTTTGTGCCATTGACCAAATTATCTTGTCCTTAATTATCTTACAGAGTGTCACCAAGTTCATGTTCATCTTCCTGATGATGTTCTTGGCGTTCATGGTTGGCCTTCAGAATCTGTACTGGTACTTCAATCCCAGCGTCCGCCTGGAGGTGGAGATTGAGAAGAGAAACGTCACAACTAATGCCGAGGGAGGATTTGGGACGTAAGCAAATATTTGATTAAAATCGTTAACCGGCAATGTGCAAGGAAAGTTGTTGTACAAGCGTTCTAAGCTTGCTCATCGTGTAGTTAAAGCTCAGTTGTATTTCGAGAACATAAGAATCATGCTAAACAAAATTCGCAACTGTTTAAAAGTATAGTTGAAGAACGTTTTGTACTGATAGGAAAAACAAAAATATAGAATATTCTGTAATTATATCTAACGTGCGCCTATTGCACCATTATTGGATTTCATTGTCTAAAATTGAAATGTTACCAGTTAAAAGGTATATCCTATTTTCTCTTTCAAGATTCGAGCTGACGTTCCGCACGGTGTTCTGGGCTATATTTGGTCTCGGAGAGTCACAGGTGGTCCAGTTGAATGGATACGACGCCGTCTTCACGGAGTCCGTGGGTTACATTATGTACGGCGTGTACAACCTGACCACTGTGGTAGTACTGCTGACTATGTTGATAGCTGTGATGACCAAGTCCTTTGAGGTGATACAGGTGCGTCAAATGTAAAACAAATGGTAGGAAATGAGCGAGTTTTGTTCCATACCAATGCTATAAGTCTGAAGGTATTTCTGTAATGAAAACATATCCGCTCGGCATCATAAAAAGGTAATCAGCATGAATCTATATTATAGCTACGAAGAATACAATGATTTCGTGACCAGTCACATTGTCTATAACACGTAGTTCAAATAATTTGGCCAATCTTGTCCTCTCTTACATGTAGCAAGATGCGGACATGGAGTGGAAGTTTGCCCGCTCCAAGCTGTTCATGGAGTACATAGAGGATGGCACCACACTTCCGGTTCCTTTCAATATTCTTCCAACTCCTAAATCCATCAAGCATTTAGTGCTGTTGTTTATAGGGTGAGTGTCCTTATTAGTATTTTTTTAAAATATCATTATTCAGCTGATTATCACGTATATGTGTTTCAGGATTGTATATATATATTTATCCTTATAGGACCAGTAAACTTTAGCAAAATATATGTGTGACATTTAATTTTTTTTGTTTAACAAATTAAAGTATTATATATTTGGTTTTATACTTGACTGTTATTATTATACAAGTCCAGCGTTTGACAACTTGGTTAAAGTGCTGTATTTAACTTCACCTGGTGAAGTTGAAATAATGGAACGCCACTTTACTTTTACTGTTTTAACCAGGCAAATCAGAGAAAAGTTCTGTAGGGCGGCTGTAGAGAAGGAAGTTCGTGAGGCTTGTACCATGCCAGTGGAGACGACATCCGAGGCCTACGACATGACACCAAGAATAGAACCAAAACTGAGGAAAAACTTCAACAAAGTGCGTAAAAGCCAAGCACATTGCCAGAATAAAGATGGCGCGCTTGTACTATACTGAGTCAGTGTTCTGAGTCAATGAATATCCGTTGTGAGGCACCAGCCATGTAGAATGACACATACATATTCTTAGCATTAAATATGTCCCATGGTAATTATATTCTGATTAATGGTACAATAATAATATAAGTAATATAAGTATTTCTCAGCTTTAAATAAGCTCCCTTACCTAAACCAATATCACCTGCGCTACGACATCCTTGTTTGTAAAGAACCTCCCCCGCAACTTAAACCTTGTGATAAATATTATAATTTCCGTCTAGTTCCCCAGTCTGGACGAGGTAGAAAGGGCAGACAGCAACCAGGGGTCCCGGCAGGGGTCAATACAGGGGGAGGACCAAGCGGAAGCGGACGCGGATGTGGACGCCGGTGACGTGAGTGACGTCAAGCCTCGTTCTGATCTGAAGCTAACATACTCGGTGAGAGGGTGATCCTAAAACTTTCCCTGCCCTGATGCCCTGTACCCACGTTACCCTTTTTACACACACACACACACACACACACACACACACACACTTTTTTAAAAAACGTGCGCGCGCGCGTGCAAAAACTCACCGGGAACTGTTCCCATCAGTTTTAACTTAGACGAAGTTCTTTTTACTTTATCGATTTTAGAGGTTGTGAAATTAAAGGAAAATTGTGTCACAAATTCACTTAAGCCCGAAAACAGACCTTAGTTTTTTAGAACATATATTAAGTGTACTTGCTTGGCTCCAGATCGGAAGCAGTCCAATTACATGTAATTTTGCACATGTTTTACAATAAGGGACCACAATCGAATTATGTTGCATTGAAAAAGAACTCAATTTTGATTTAAAAGTTTAAACAAATTTCCATGCTTAAGTGTTTTGTCCAACGGTTTTTGGTCTATTTTTAAGAGGCAGAAGTTTGCAAACATCCCCCATTTTATTTTGCACCTACCCAATTCCTAAATGTTAACACACACACGCACAATGATCGGTGTATTTTGACGGTATCATATGGGGGATTGCACTTAAGAGACTGCTTCCTTGAGGTAGACCTTCAACAGTTTTAACTGGCGACACAACATTACTTCATAGTGAGAAGCTGTCTTGTATATGAACAATATAGGAATATATAGACGGATATTTACATACACTCACCGTAAGTGCATATCTTGAACACACTGAAACGCACAAAATTATTTTATCGCAATATCTAAAAGAGCATGGCGTATTTCTAGAATTTGGAATATTAATATCTTTTAAAAGACATGACTTTTTTTAACTACCTTGTTCATAAAACGTTTCTTTTCATATTTTTGACCCTTTATTTCTAACATATATGTTTAAAATTTAGACTTTGTAATAACTCGTTTTTACTTTTTCAATTGGGGAATCGCACCTATTAAAATCTGCACTACTCATTTCCACATGCAGCATGTCATGGAATGGACTAAACATGCAGTTTGGTGAACGGTTGCACTTTTATTTCCCATTTTTGCAGGAAAAACAAATTTAATTTGAATGCATGATTTATGGATTATGTTTTTCAGTTTTAAGTTACGCATTTTGGTGCAAGTTCTAATTTTGAAAGTTAGTGGTTATGAGGGTGAGCACTTGGGGGCTCGAGTGTCAGAGTGGATCAATGTCGTCTGAAAAAACAAGTTAGGTCATAGAATAATAAATAAGATGTGTCAGTATAGTAAAGATGATCCTTGGACCAGATGACCCATATTCCTTCACGTGAGTATTTTGGATCACTCTGCCACGTCATAACGCTTCCAGCCAGTCACGTGTCCAAAACGTGACGTAATACCACTACCGTGTGTTCCTGTCTGTACTTCACTTTTAAGCGATGCAAATTTGCTTGCTACTCTGCATGCCTGGCTAGGCTATAACAGGCACAAGATTTCATTGACTGCCTTTAAGGAGCAATGATGTAGGCTTTGTAGACTTTGAATTAATGATTTTTCATTCATTAATTAATATTTCACAGTTTTGCTTTTCTATGACATTAATTGAAGTACCGTGACAATTTGTTCTGCCTTGCTTATCTTTATATTTTTAAGTGTGAAATAAGTATTAATAAGTATTAATAATGTGAGGGTGCAGTGAAAGTGAAAGTCTTCAGTCTCTTTAAAATTTACATTGTAACTCACAAAACAAAGTTGTTTTTCTTTCTATTTTGAGCGGTGAGAGGGAAGGGAGAGGAAAGCGTGTGACGACGGATTTAGACTTGCACGTCTTGTCTCTGACGTCATACAAGTTGGAACGGGATAAAGCTTTAAAAAACACCAAAAATTTTTTGCAGAGTGTATCTGTGTGAAATGCACATGCGCATCTTAGTTGTCAGCATTTTATTGTATCTTGCTTACGTTCAAATTTGATTGCTGCCGAGTGCCGTGAAAATTTCATGAGTAAAGTTAGCTGCTTTACATAGATCTATAATTTTAGCTTTTCTTGTTGTTGCACTGTTGCAGAAAAAATTGATTCTTAGACGTAGATTTTAAAGTTAGGTAGAGTAGCATATCGATTGCTAGTTAGCTACTTATTTTATCTGCAATCTTAATATTTTGAAATTAAAACTAATTTCTTATGAAGCAAAGTGACATAAAAATGTAATTCATAATTTATATATTTGTGTTTAGTAGTGTTTAGTTCAATTATTCTAATAATGTTCTTAGAATGGGTTTCAGTTGGAATTTTATTTTCCGTACATATATAGAGTGATTTTGCAATTAAATCAACATTAAAAATTACCACATTTGCTTTTGATTTCTCCCGTCTTAGCGTTACTTAGCTAACATGTAAAATAACCTTTATTTATCCAGAAAGTTGTGCGGTCCATAGTGAAGCGTTATATATTTGAGACTGCTATGGAGGATGATAAAGAAGGTGGGTTTGTAAAAAAAAACAAAAATAGAATAATCGAAAATGATGATAATGGAACAATGGAGAGATTGATCTCAAATAAATAAATAAATAAATGTATTACTTGATATATTAATAAAACGACGGAAATAGCTGTGAATCAGAATCAGAAGTTTATTGACAATCGCCCTACATCCGGGCATGATCAAATACAAATACAAGAAGTAATCCGCAGAGTGATTACCATATACAGTTTGATATACATTATATAATGTCTAGACTAAAGCAGGGAAGTACAAGTACTACTCAATATAGATCAATATTACCCTCTACCAGGGCGACTGATAGATTTTTACGGATATTCACAGATATGTCTCTAGCTAGATAGATTGTCATTTTCAGCTGAAGTCGGGGTACAATTACATGTTATTTAAATGTACCTATAATTATGGCTTAGGATTACATGTATGTTCAAATGTTAATGTACGATTATGGCTTGCGGTAACAATGCACATTCAAATCGCAATATAACGTGAGAGTAAAGTTTGTGGCGTTTCATTTCAGTGACAAATGAAGAGTTAAAACAAGACATCTCAAGCTTCAGATTTGAAGTCCTCAACAATTTTAAAGGTCGCAAAGACGGTGATCGAACTCCCAGCAACAACAACAGCGTCTCTAGCTCTATCCGGGCACTTCAGAACTCTCTAAACAAGGTCCAAGATACTCTCCATTCCATGGCGGCAGCCAAACCGGTTTCACGACCGAAGTCTAGATTACTTCAGAGGTCGTTCGCAATTCCTGAATTATCAGAAGAAATGGATGACCAAGATGGGCTCGGAGACTTGGAAGATGAAAGAACAATAATGAACAAGCCGCCATTTAAGACACGCTCATTAAGTGAAGGGGATGTGAAAGTACATTTCGTTAACGGGACGCCAAGCACGAAACGTGAGGTGTCCACGCAAACGATAGTTGGCACCACTGATAGTTCTGCCCAACTTGGCGTGACCTCACAGAGCGTTGCTGTACAGACAGAACCAATGGGACGCAACGCGGCGAGAGTGTCGTTTATCCAACTAAGTGACCCAGGCGAAGGCGATCAAATAAACACATCGCATTTATCATTTGTGTGACAGACGATTTCATATTAAAATCACTATCTCATATACGTTGCATAACTATGTAGATTGTTATGAATATAAGTGGACCAACTACACTTGAAAATTTCAAAAGTTCATCAGCCGAGTTTTTTTAATGCAATCACTGAAAGCAGTTTTAAAAATCCAATCTCACAAAATGGCCATAGAGACCAGAAGAGCACCGAAACGTCTTCCATACCTATGCTATGCAAAATCGCTAACTTGATAACTACAATGTTCCAATTAGTTTGATATCAAGCATTTATTTTGGACATGTATTTGGGTTAAGGCACTCGGACCATTTGCACCATGTATAGGCCTACGTAAGATTAGCAAACGCCATTTAACCCGCTTGGAGGTAATATAATTCTAAAACGAAGTCGCACGCATTTTCTTTATGTTTTGCTGTTCTGTCCGCTTCATAGGAAGCGTATTATAAAGTCACAGCAGCATTTCTACTTGTTTTTAGGCGGCTTTTTCATTGTAAAGTTTATTGCGTCTCCATTTCCTCCTGCAGTATCTTTTTGTCTTGACAGAAAATTGTTTACGATCTTCTCCCATAGGTACACGGGGCGGATTTAGGCCGTCTTCTGGGTCTTCCGAAAGACGGTCAGATTTTCAAGTTAACATTGACAGGTATCTATATTTTACTGTTGGAAGACGGTCAAAATTGGAGGATGAATCAACAAAGATAATTTGGAAGTCTGTCAGTAAGTAGCTCTCCATCCGCCCCAGTACACATGATTTGTCTTCTAAGGATATCCGATCTTTACCATAAGTCCGAGACTTTGGCGGGTTAATTAATTGTGGCTTATGAGCCAAGCAATTCGCTACTGATTGTCGTGTACACGTTTTGATTATGAATTTACCTAGCAATTCTCGTTACGCTACCTCACTTATATACAAGGGATGCACTTTTTTGAAATAAGAACCGGGTTTAGAAAGTGGTCAGATATAACCAGTTTTAGATTATGCAATTTTGGCCCCATGGTTAAATGTGAAATGGTAGATTGTGTAATTAGCATACATGACGACCCACCTAAATGTTGATCCCATCATCATTATTGATATTTTCGTATCTTGTTATTGTCAAAGTAGCTGGATAACAATTCTTATTTGATAACCAATTATCATTTTTTCGAAGAAAGAAACATTCATCCATTTGTCATTTTATTCGTTTGTGCAATAACCCAAAACATTTGGCACCGAAAATAAATAAAATATTATTCACTTCAGTGACGCGTTGGGTTTTATTTTTGAATCAAAACGTAGATCTAACTTTTGACTCTGATTTTCTCTCTCTCTCTCTCGCACGCGCACGTGCGTGTGGGTTTGTTTGTATGCGAACACACTGAAGAGGGCACCTCGTGAAACTGGTCCACATATAATTATTTACAAAAGATGTAGATTTTTTGCTAAATGCATCATGTCTTTAAATTGGTAAGATAACTATCATTAATAAAGGAAGAGGTTCGCAGCAGATTTCCGTTTTTTTCTCCTGTCTTTAATTTTCGAAAAAGAGTCCCCACTTTAACTAGATAGAATGAATTTTACAAGTTCTTAATAGACTAAAAATGACTTTCGTGTTTGCATTGTCCACTATTTGGAATTTAACTTATTTTGACTGTCTATTTACTAATTGCTTCTTTCCTTCGATTTAGTTGTGCCAAATGCATGACAAGGTTTAAAACTGCTCATCAACAACGATGAAACTTGTCATTAATGTGTATAATACACTCAATATCAAATGGTGCTTATTTGGCATGTATACACACCACATCTTTTGATGATTTCCACGAACATCTGAAGAAATTGCAAGAAAAAGAAAAAAAGTTGAAAAACAACATTTTAATTCATATTCTTAACCAGGAATGGTGAGTGAATTACAAAATCACTTTAAAGGCTGATCTCGACCAGCTTGCTCCATTTTAATTTAACTTCTTCTTTTCTGTTTTAAATAATCGACTAAACAGTTTATAATGAGGGTATTTCAGAATCGTGAACACTTAAGTGACATCAGTAAGTGGCGCTTGAATTTTGTGTTTTATTTGCCATGAACCAATGGCTTTATTGGCACGGTAGAAAAACAAAATGATTACTTTGTCAGGAGTGGGATTCGAACCCACGCCCACAGAAGTGGACTGCGACCTGAACGCAGCGCCTTAGACCGCTCGGCCATCCTGACTTATGAAACGCTCCTAGCGAATTTCTTGTGCCACTACCAGGGATCCCGTACTTTTCAAAAAGTCTCAACAAATCTGTAAGGCTATGGAAGAAATATTTTCTAAAATTCATACAAGATGTATCAAAGCAAAACTATTAGAAAACGACGAACATATATCAACATTTTCTTGCTATACCTGGTTTATGAGCACATTTTGTTTACATGTCCAATTAAGACTCATGCAGAAAGAAAATATAATTTTCAGATTGAAAATAAATGCAATTTTAATTGTTAAAATAACTTCGGGGAAAATAAGGGATTGAATAAAACGATTAGATATTTTAATGAAACTTGCTGTTGCGCATTGACAGAACCAACGTCACGTGACCAAACTTGACCTAGTTCAATCTCAACATGGAGGAATAGCAGATCGAGACAGCACTGGTAATTCTATGTAACATGAGATTGTTCCGTCCGCTTAGGTGTGCCACTAGACTGGCGATTGAGACTTACTCTAAGTATCAACCTTCTCCACTCACCGTTGAACAACTCACAGATTTCGGTAAGGCAAATTGCGTTATCTAGTAATTTTAGTTCGCACATGATCGGACTCAGACCGCTATGACTATGTACACTCTCTCACTGTACTGTACGGCCTCAGGTAGGCCTACTGTTGTGATTAAAGTGCGCAGCGCATAATGTATATTCGGTCAACTCAGTCTTCGTGTCGTAAACGCAACAGTCTTGTTTACCTACTCTTTACGGCCTCCCCCCCCCTCTCTCTCTCTCTCTCTCTCTCTCTCTCTCTCTCTCTCTCTCTCTCTCTCTCTCACACACGCGCGCGTCCTCATACCGGGGTTTGTAAGCCATTTCATAGATAGAAACACATATATCCACGTATAACATTGCTTTAACTCGTGTGACAATATAGTTAAAACTTTATAGACCTGCTTCATGGATTCATACGAGTACTGGGTGCCCGGGGGTACAGGGTCGTTTAATTAAGACGCTATGTCGAATACCAAATCAATGGAAAGATAACACAAAAGATAAACGTACATTTTGCGAAGATTATTAAAACAAATGGCATGTGGAAACGTTTAATTTCAAAATAGAGATTCATCAGCATCTATTGTAGATATGGGAAAGCCATGTAGCCACATATAAATATGTGAACATAAATTTAACAGCAATTCGGTAAATGATACATGTAGGTAAGAAGATCAAATAGAAAAAAATGGCATCATTGTCTGATGATCTCTGATTCAACGTAGGCCTACAGTAGGAAAAGGAAGCATTCTATTGGTACGTGTGGGTTGACACTCTATCTTCGACCCGTCCTTGCTCCCAGTATTTCAACGTGAACCCATGTCATAATGCATATAAAGTTCCTTCCTTATTCTGTGGTTGTCTACTGCGGAGACATTAACTAGGGCATGGATACAATCGCATCAAGTGTCATTTGCGTCACGACCTGAGTTAAATTCCAAATTAAATGTCACTTTAATTGTGTTGTAAGTACAGTAGATACCGTACAAATTGACGTACAGTAGGGGCCTACATATTAATTATCATGGTAAGCCTTACCCATGCGTTTAGGATCCGCCAAACTAAAAGATGAGTCTTAGTATGTGTGTACGCCTTTTTTTTTATTTTCATCATTGTCGGGGATGGGACAGTTAACCCCCTCCAGTCGACGTCCAGGTGGTATAAATAACCTGATTGCATGTACATGTATTGTACGCCTTCAACAGCTGCCTCCAAACTCTTATTCTCTGTCTACAGACTTACTGTATTAAAATTCCCAGTTACTTTACATGACTGCTGCACGTCATAAAACATTGGGGGCCATGAAGCCTTTGTCCAAGATGTTTATAGCGAAGGCAATGATTGATTAACTAATGATAAGCTAAATGAAACAAAATAAAGTAAAATAAATCACGAACGTAGCACGGTGCATTATTTAGCGGGATAATCCTTTGTCTCTCTTTTCTCTCTTTATATTTAAGTGTTATGCGTCACATCATCCTACTCTTATTGAAATACCATTTCTTTATAATATTGGAACACTTCTGACGTGTGATGAGTCACAAATGCCCCCCCCCCCTTATCTGTAACTTTGCATAACGACTTTGTTTTGCATGGCAATTCTTTGTACTCCCACTCCTCGTTTTCTAAATAATCGACATATAATGAGTTTTTTAAACCACGAAGTTTGTGACAGGAGCCACGTGTTTGTTAACTGATCTTTGCGTGTAGATTCCATTTTTATCATCTAGCACTTGGCATAAATAACGTCGCATAAATAAGATGTAGTTATAATTACCTGTAAAGCAGTCGGGGAAAATATCTGTTGCGCTTGCTGCAAATAAAGCTCTGCCTCTTACTGTACATTACAACATAAGTATTATTAAAGCACTCGCTGATACAACATCACCTGTCCTATACATTAACGTGTCCGAGGGAATGGAGGGTTGGTGGTGGTGGTGGTGGTGGTGGTGGGGGGGGGGGGGTTTTAGGGGAGTTGACAGCTCATGGAGGATAGGTCCCCTAACATTCCAAGCAGGGGCGAATCCAAGATTATTTGAAGGGGGATGTCTGCGGATGAGAAGCAGACCCTCCCCCCTCCCTGGGCGGGGGATTCAGGGTCCGCTGAAAGGCCCCGAAAAAGCTTGGTATTTTAGAGGGCAAACAGTGTCATTTGGTACGGTTAAGAAGCTGGTCAGCTAGTCAAAATTCTAATTACAAGAGGGGACCATTGGTGTGTGTGTTTTTTTTTTTCAGAAACCCAAGAGGGGGTCAGGCTCCCTTGACCCCTCCCCCCTAAATCCGCCACTGCCAAGTGTGTTTTCTTGTTTTGGTTTGGGATGCAAATTGTTCTTCTAGTCCTGTAGCCCTGTGCACCTTTCTTATAAAACCCTGTACCCTCCACCGACCCAGAGCAATACCTTGACCTTGCTTTCAACGCTAAGGCCTGACAAAATTGATTCTTTGGTTATTTGCGCGTTTTTTCCCCCTTTAATTTGGTGATGTCAAATCCACAGTGGTGGCGATAAACAGTATGAGCATAAAAACAATCACGGTTTTGTTTTTCTGGGGTCACTTTTTAATTTTTCCGCTTACCAAACAAACGTACAATTCATCTTTTGTTGGTGCGAGGAAAACTTAATTTTGCCTGGCCTTAAGTGTCAGTTTCATCAGTGGCAGACGTTTTTTTAGATAGACGCGAGAGCCACAGGTAAAGGGCACATGCAAGCTCAGGTAACGGACAGCTAACCGAACTCAGCGTGGTGTATATGCAGTATTTGTGGTATTTTGTGAGCAGAAGTTGAGGGGTCGAGCAGTGGTCATGAGGCCCTTACTTGCCTCTATGAATAGTATTTATGAATAGCATCTTATATAGTATGTTCGTCCGTCCGTTTTGATTGAAGCAGTGGGACTGTGTAGAAAATGTCTATGATAAATAACAAAGCAATCTGTTGAATATGATATAGTGGAATAAATGGCAATGACCTAATGCTAACATTCAATTATTTTATTGGTCTATTGACTGGACCAACCCCCAGAGCTACATGTAGGAACAATTGCGCTGTTTCGGTAATGTTCATCTTTTTTGATAATCAAGTTGTGTTATGATTTAAATTGACAGTTGGCCTTGAATATAAGACAGAAAAGTTGAGTTTAAAATAAATCTGTACTTGTCGACAAAAATAAAGAAAGAGTTGGTCTAAATATCAGGCATTTTTCACTTTTATTAGAGACCGTTTTTTTTTTTTTTTTTTTTTTAAGCTTCACTAACACGCGTTTATCTGACTAAAAATTTGACCAAAGTTAAAAGTCATAAGTTCTTATTTGAAACCATCTTCTAGGTACAGCCTTAATGTATACAACGTTAAGACCAGAAAAAGCTCTTAAAAGCCCGTCAAAGTAATTTATTTAAAGGTTATTATGTGTGTATTAATGACTTTAGACGCGTCATTCATTCATTCACTGTAGACAGTATCTGTTGTGGAGAAGGGACTTGGCTTGCCATCAATTTTTGTTTCGACATATACATGAAAGACAGAAAGTATTGACTTATATGAAAGGGTGCATCTCACACGTCAAGTGGAATAAGGCCTGTCTGGTTAAATGCCAAAAAATGTATGAAAAACACCGGTAATTAAGAGTTGTGACCCAGCAGTAATGCGTAGTACGAAATTTTTGTCCGCTTTGCCATAATTGAATTTGAATTTAATTATCACGTAGTAGGATGTTACATACAGTAAGGGTATTGCATCCCCATTGACAGTTGAATGCAGATCATTTTTTGGAATTGAAGAAAAAAAAACTGAGCCCTGCATTCCTCGTGTTTGCCCATTAGACTGCACAAATTGCGGGAAAAGAGTGTGAAACCTGTATCTTTTCCGAATGGCGATTAAAGTAGTTGCGTGACAAATGCCACGAAGCTAAATGTGTTTGAACTTAAAATAATATGATCTATTTATGCAGGCTGTGCCTTTGATTGCAACTCTCAAGATGTGGCGTCATTTATCGTTAATCCATTTCCGAATTTCATCTCGCACACACTGTAATTCGACTTAGTTTATAACTGAAGAGAAAACAACCAGGTTGATGTCCGTGGATGAGTTCTGCTAGCTTTTATCCTTGCCGCAACGCTCTCACTCATTATTTCTGACCCAACTCTCCTCCAAATCTTGCGAAATCTCGCTTGATTTTACTTTAAGTCGCGATACTGGGCTATTCCCGAAGGTTTTCTAAATAAAGCGTGCGATTAGTAAATATTTATACCCCCGATGCAACGCGTCTTTCTTCTAATACAACAAATTAACTGAATGTGTTTTCCAGCCTTGCAGCCATGCGCGAAGACGTCGTACAACTTTCTGCGCAAGGAGCTCCCAGTTCGCCTTGCAAACATGATCAAAGAGATCCAACAGCTACCTCGTGTTGTCGTTGAAGAGGAACACGTTCAAACAGTTCAGGAATGGTAAAAATCCACACACTATTTGAACAGCCATCATTCGGTTTTTGTCCATTACATTTCCTTGTGCTTGTTTGCAGTGGTACCGAATTTCACCCAAAAGGCTTGACATTAAATTATCTACGCAATTATGCTCTTATCTATAATCATCGGCATAAACGCAGTTGTTAAAATACCACAGTAGGTTTTCTGCATAACTAGTCACTTTATGAAACGAAATTTTGTTTAACTCAAAATTTGTGGAGTGTTATTTCTTTGGTAAAACCTGAATCTTTGTGAACATTGCCTGACTCCAGTTTTCCTGTAAATTGAGCTAGGTTTCTGGTCCCAAGATGAAGTTATGCGGAGTCCGTGTAAAAAACTCACGCAGGGTCTGCAAATTGAGGTTCTTGAAAGCGGTGGTAGTTGTACAAAATGTACGTAGCTTTGAGAACCCGTGGAGAACCCGTGGAGTTTAACATTTAAAGAATCTCACTTCATATAATTACGCAGGTTTTCTATTATCTAGTATTGCAACGTAGTGGCAGCACACTTTAAGCGTTATTACAGTTAACTTTGGTGTTGTTTGGTTTTAACAGGTACTGGAAGAGTTTTTCAGATCTGTTAGAATTTACGGACAGAGACGCCGAGAAAGATGTGGGTGTGCTGGAAGAGTAAGTGTTAGCTTTGCTAATGATGAAGAGTAATTTATTACCTTTTTAATTTTAATTTTACTTTAATTTTAATTTAATTTAATTTAATTATTTTTTTTCCGAAAAGATCCCAGTAATGCGGATTTTATTCATGTCTTATTTACTATGTCAGTGCAAAATTCATAATCAACTCAAAACACGTTTTTCGTTTTTTTCTCCTGAAATTTGGTCACGTGAAACAAACTTATTTTCTCTTCAGTTTCTGGGATGCTATCTGGAACATCCGGCGAAGACATGGTAACGTGGTGGAGACCATGGCAAAGGTAATGGTCTCAATGCAGTGAATGACGGGTCTTTCGTTTGATTTAGTGAAAAATTATTATAGCTCGACTAAAATGTCGATGAACACGAGGCAATAAGAGACTTGAGTGTTATACGTAAGAATGATGTTTTATGTCTACTCTACATTGATCAAAGGTTGTATGCTCCAAATTACGTTTAATGGCAACTCGATAAAAATCAAATGCTTTTTTATCTCACTTTTTTTTTTCTTAATTTTCAGGGCGTTGCGGCCGTTCGCGACAACGAGGGAATTGATGAATTGATGCAGGAACAGATTCAGTTTTTCCTCGACAGATTTTATACCAACAGAATAAGCGTATATTTGCTAATGAAACACCATAGTAAGTTTTTTTTATGCATTAACTAATTGGGGTAGGTTTCTTATGAATAATACGTGGAGTGTTCAGAAAATTAAAACACAATTGTGAACATGTAAGAAATCGCGTCAGATCAGAAGGTGATGTTAAACTCAAAATGTGTTAAATGTGTTTGTTGTTCCAAGATGCGCAATGGAAATTTGCCAACACGCTGGTGATAATGGTAACCATAACTCCATGGAGATTAATCGTAAACACTGGACGGCCAAATTAAGTTATTATTGGATAATAACATACAGCTTGAGTGAAATAGATCTACATCTTTATCTGAGTTAAAGCGAAATGCTGCGTACTCTGTAACATCAGGGTTTTGTTGCAGCCATAGCCGTTATGTTTAACATACAATTCGCTTAATATCTCAAGCTATCAGAATTTGTAACTTTACGGAATCCTTAAAGATGTTTTTTTTATTCTCTACAACCATATGAAATGTTTGAATCTTCTTGGTTTTCTTACCCAGTTAAAATTTCTATCATAAGGTTGTATCAGATAGTATTATCATGACTATTATATAATAGGGAGCGGGTAATTTTAATGTTTATCCCATTGATATTGTTTGTTATATATTCTTTATTTCTAGTGATGCTGTTTGACACATTTCTTGATCCGGGCTCTACAGTGGAGGAGATCAGAGGCTGTCTGAACCCTCAGATGGACGTCAAACAGGTCGTTCTAGGTGAGTACTAGGCATCATCTCCATCCACTCAATGGTACCCGTTTGAAATTGAGTGAAGGTCTTTCTAGGTGGGTACCGTACAAAGTATCCTCTCCATCCACTCAATGGTACATGTATAAAAAAAGAGTGATTGGCGATTGCCGAGTGATTTTCTTCGCTGATTTTATAACCGATGTAGGCCATCTTAATCCTGAGTTTCAAGTCCTTACAGATTCTTCCTCAGGCAAATCACAGGGTGTGGGGTGCAGTGAAGAGTTGTCGTCAGTAGTTTAAGGCTTGGGGTGTCTGTTAAAGAGAAGAGAGGCCCATAATGTTGTCTTAGCTCATAGTCAATGCCGACCGTGCCGTTACACTGACCACGATTCTGAAACAGAATTTTGTTATGGATTTACCGTTAAAGACTGAAAGGAGTATAAGTGTCAAATTTAACATGGAGTTAATTTTAGTCCTGTCCGCCTGTGTCTAGTGTTACGGTGCGTTCTGAAACCCGCCCATTTTCTACTCGCACATTAGGTGTTTGTTCCTTTTTTCAGATGCATACGACAGAGTGCGGTTTATATGTGAAACAACCCATGCCAACTGCCCGACTCTAGATTTAGAAGTACATAATAGTAAGTGGACACACACACACACACACAAAAGCACACAAACGCACCTATTCTATACTGGTGTAACGTAACAGAGAGTCCCCGATGATGGGGAGTCCACCTCCAATTAATTTCTACAGCGTCTCCCTAGATTTTGATCCACTCAGGTCGGGCTAACCTTAAACATTATAATTAAATGGAGGTCGGACTTTTGTGTTACACGGATCCTCAGTTTCGTTACACCGGCTACATAATTAGGTGGCGTTTTGACATTCCTCGGATACATTTTGACAATTATCACACAAAAAAAGGCCACACAAAGATTCTTGTTCATGCGTATTGTACTGATTGCTTTATTTGATTTTAAAAGATCAAATATAAAAAAATGCATTTGCTCAATATTACATTCTGACGTTTGAGTATAAGGTAAAATAATATTATAACATAGATAAATAGAACGAACAAACACTCGCACACACATTCCTTTTAAAATCATTCGTACATCTCTAATTTGCTCTTGTAAAAACGACGATGTCTTGAAATCAAAATACGCCAACTATACAAAAACGATATTTCATTTTTTTTGAACATAAGGAAGGACTGCTTATGAAACTAACCTTCATCACGCGACGCGTAGAAGAACATTATATAAGCTCATTGTGCTACAGAATGGACTCTCGTTTGGTTAATTTCGGTGCTTAATTTTATATAATGGGAAATGGTCCATTTTTAGAACGTAAACGTTTCTACGCTGTCATTATGAAATCAACGCGTCAGATCTTGCGTGTTCGCGTGAGAGAAAGTACGTGTAAATGAAAGGGAAACTTGACTCAGCGAAAAATCGGATTTATCGTCTCCTGTAGTGCAGCTGATCTTGTATAATACTGCATTAAATGATTGAAATAAATAGCGTATGGTTACCAGGGGCGGATTGAGGTCGTCTTCTGGGTCTTCCGGAAGACGGTCAGATTTTCAAGTTTACATTGACAGATATTTAATTTTTCTGTCGGAAGACAGTCAAAAAATGGAGGATGGATCAACAAAGCTAATTTGGAAAACTCAGAAAATGTCTCTGGATCCGCCCCTGATTACGTCTGGTGTAGCGAAACTGAGGGTCCGTGTAACAGAAAGTCCGCCCTCCATTTAGTTATAATAGTTTGGGTTAGCCTGGACTAAGTGGCCTAATGTTTATCATAGGGGACTCTCTGTCACGTTACACCGGGGTAAAAAAAGTTTCCAGATTTGTGATTGGAACAATATTGAAAGGTGTGCCTGTGTTCTTACTTATGCCTATTGCCCCTCGTGGAGCAAAGGCCACCTACAAGGCCTCTACCCCCCCCCCCCAATATCCCTCCCTGTTCTGAGCTCTTCTCTCTAGTTGTTTTCAGATCATTCTAAGTCTCTTGGTTCAGCTTCCAACTCTCAACTCCATGTGTTTCAAAGCTTGTTCCTCAACTTAGTGTGGCCAAACGCCACTTGTACCTCTAAGAAGTTAACACCAACCCACAGGAATCGATGTTCCTGTATTATCTTTATTGTTTCATCACACAGAAAAAGCAATAAGCTTGACAATGAAGGTACTTTACAAAAGCACACAGTTTATAGGGGATACCAATTTGATTTCCCCCCTACTTTTAGCAACTGACCCGGATGAAGACATCAAGATAGTATACGTCCCAACACACCTCTTCTACATGGCGTGCGAGATCATGAAGAACTCCATGCGGGCCACGGTGGAGAAGTACGACGATGGCCTTGGGCCCCTGCCACCTATCAGAGTGAGGATTGTGAAGGGCGTGGAAGATGTCACTATCAAGGTACGTAGAAACCGTTTGCATTGACGTCACTTCCGGCGCCATGACAGGATACATTATCACGGTAATTCAGTTCCGCGTGAAAGTCGACTAGTCGGCCATTGATTGTTTGCGGCTGCTTGCTTTACGCAAATTGGCGGTAAGCCACTAACGTGCAATCCCCCGCCATGTCTCCTTGGCTGATCCAAGCTACTCAATGTTGTGGTGTGAACACTGAGTCTGTTCTCCCCAAGTGCCTGCTCCTAGGTCTGAATGTTAAGTTCATTATCTTTTTTTATAGCTGATCAATGACAAATCCATTTACTATACACGGACATAGTGGCACCGTGGGTTTTCACGGCTTGGATCATAATGACTCAACTTTGCGTAAATGCTGCATGTCATGGTACCTGTATCGTTAGAAGTAGTAATTGTCATGTACGCTTTAAGCTTTTTATCGACATTTATGTTATATACTCGACGCATCGCTTCACCAAACTTCACCTAATGCTTTTTTTGTCTTTGGAAATCAATAATTTTGTCGCCTGTGCAGGCGGCATTTTTTAAGGCATAAAGCAGACCATCCATGATGGGATAGGGGTATTAGTTTTCTGACGCTTTTTACTTTTGGGATTTTATTTTTGTAATGAAGAAGGTTCTGACTTATTGAAAAAGAAAACAAGAATAGAAATAAATGGGTTATTATTTCAAAAAGCAAATCTCTTGAAGCTATTTTTTTTTGTTAAATTTGTTTTTGCTATTTGGCCACTTGCATTGATGATTACCAAAAAGTCGCAGATATCCATGATGAGTGGCTTGCATGCTAGTTTTGATAGTTTCAATGATAAATTTTGTCTTTGTAGAGGGAATTTTAACGCAGCTCGAATCAGTAATAGTTACATTTGTTAACGCTGTTCCAAGTTTTATGCTTGAAGTCACTTAGTTAGATTCATTGCCTGACAACATTGTTTACATTTTGGTTGGACAGGCGATAACGCAAAATCAGTTTTCTTATTGTGGCATTCATTGCCTGACTTAAGATCACAAACTCAGTTAAGTTTCACTTGACTATTCGCGTCGTTGGTCGTGTTATGCAACATTTGAAACTTTCCTGGTTGCCTGTATCAACTTGTTTTGATTTGGTCGGATTGAATCATCAGACACGCTCCGAAGGTACCATGGAGGCATTCGGTTTGATCTTGAGCTCCGCAGTACTAACGGCGGATCGGGAGTGTGGGGAGGGGGGCCGGAGGCAGCATGCCCCTCCATTGGCTTCTGAGGTATCCTTTCTGCCTTCAGAATAAAAAATAAACAAGCGAAACAAAACAAGACGAGGCCATTTTAATACCCATGTGCCCGCTAGGCAATCTTTCAGATTTTTGTGCTCTCCCCAAGCATATTTGTTCCCCCCTCCCCCCAGCAAAGTCCTGAAAAAGGTCCAACGATTAAATTGCCGCTGATTATTTGAATGGAATTGGTCGTTTTGTGAAACTGCTTAAAATATTTATTTCTTTGTGTTTGAACTTTCATTTTGTACTACATCTTTTTTTGCAGATAATGGACAAAGCCGGTGGCATCCCACGAAGCAAAATTGATAAAGTTTTTCAGTACAATTTCACCACCGCCAAATCACCCGGTTCACTGGTAAGCAAAGAGCTTTCTCTGAAATTAAAAAAAATATTTGACATTTATTAAAAAAGCAAGTTTATAGATACACAATAATAAAAACGTATTGCCATTAAAATCGGTTTTCAGTTACAAATTTGAAACATTATAAAAGGGCACTGTGGTCCTAACAGTGTGTGTGTTGGTGAAAAGTCATTGTCAATTATTAGGAAATCATTTATAAAACGACAAACGTGCTCCATACCCGTGTTTTATTTTTCAAGAAAAAAGCAATATGGCACCGTTTTAAATCTCACGAGTCGCACATTAAAAAGGAATCACGCCAAATGTTTTCTTAAAAGCGGAACGTTTCTATGAACTAGGTGATGTTTATGTTGTAAGGTGTGACAAGGTACTTTGCTCCCCAAAAGAGTGCGCTCTTTGCTGACACTGTTACACTTTTCTTCTTCCTAGGCTGGTTATGGCGTGGGGTTGCCCATATCACGTCTGTATGCACGTTATCTCCATGGCGACCTCAGCCTGACGTCAATGGAAGGGTTTGGCACCGATGCGTTTATTCACTTAAAGGTGAGGACCTAAGATAAACAAAGAAACAAACAAACAGATGCATAGATAAAAAATAAATAACACGGTTTCGATACCCATGCAGTCAATTGTGGCACGTGTTTTATCATAAACATGGGTTTTCTTCATTCAGGTTCATTCAATGGACGCATTGGAACGATTGCCCATTCTGACCGCTGCCACTGCCAGGTTGTATAGGCAATCCAAGTCGCCACCGGAGTGGACATAAATGATCATTGCCGGACGTTTGCGATTAGGGGACTTATCATTGTCAGTTACTCACGCTGGCAGAGAAATATTGTACAGCGTTTTCCGCTTTTTAGTAAGGATACAGTAAAACTGCAGTTTTTTGCGTGTGTTATTTGAAAAATATTGTCTATAGGAGTGAGGGGAGTTAAGGCTGATGATTATCACTGTCCGCAGTGCATCGTACTCACGATGAAACGCCCCGCAATGTGTTAAAATTAGCATTTTGGTACGCAGATATTGTTCAGGTGTAAAACACGTTCTCCCTCCAATTTACAAGTGGGGTGAAATACTTTTTATATAGGTTGTTTTTTTATAAACGGCAACCACTATGTTAAGGGAAATTATATATTTTAAATCTGTTGTACTCGGGTAGCTCCAAGGCATTCTGTAAGCGAATAATACGCGTTTTCAGTGCCCCTTTGAAATAAAATAGCTTTAACTCTATATCTTTGCGGCCGTCATATCCAGCTTGTTTACAGCAACCGAGTTGTTGAACTTGTGGTTGTGACGAGGAACAAGTTTCGAATAAATACTACTGACCTTTATTCTTTATGCCACTTTATTATCAGTGAATAGATCACCGACAATTATTATTATTGGTGAAAAGATGGTTTTGAAAGATTAACTTTTAATAACTGATATTATGTCCTTTCATGTAACTAATGGGTTTGTACTTAAAATATTAAATACACCTATTTACTGTGTTGTGTTCAATTTCTTTTTACATTTGGGACTTCTAGCACCTTTGGGCTTGTCCAAGATAGCCAGACTTAGTCGCACTAATCACGCCATGCCATTTATATTTGAATGATTTTGTTAATTGTTTACACCTTGTTGAAAACAAAATACCCTGACGTCGTGTGTGTCCTAAACACGCAAGTCACGCGAGACTGCGAGATCCATTAGGTTTTGGACATTTTGTTCTCGTCGACATCTGCTCTGGTTGAAGTCAGAAACGCAACTTGTTCACAAGGTGTTGTGACACCCTCTTAGTTTTTGCACTCGTCTTACATATTCCGGAATCTCAGAAAGTTCTATTTCCAGAAATACATAACAGAGTCGACGGAAAAGAAAGACAGAGAATTTTCCTCGGAGACAAAGGCGATTTTACACTTTTTACGAGACCTTGCACGACCCGTGTTTGCACTTAGTACAAACGTTCTATTTCGAGAAATACATAACAGAGACGGCGGAAAAAACACAAAGATAATTTTCCTCAGTGACAAATGCAATTTTTACACTTTTTACGAGACCTTGTTCGACCCGTGTTTGCACTTAGTCAAAACGTTCTATTTCGAGAAATACATAACAGAAACGGCGGAAAAAACACAAAGAGAATTTTCCTCGGAGACAAAAGCAATTTTCCACTTTTTGCTAGAACTTACTTGACCCACCTTTGCACTTAATCAAAATGTTCTATTTCGAGAAATACATAACAAAGACGTCGAAAAAAATCCCATCATTAAAGACGTGATGATTTTGGCTGTCTAAGAAATCTTCCACGACTTCATCTTCTGACCATAAAGCAGTAGGGTTGTGAGTTCTTCAAGTTTGAGAAGAAAGAGACAGGCCTGACAGAGCTGGAAAAGCAGATATAGGCGGGTTTTGGTCAAAATTACACTTACTGCAGGGTTATTAAGCAAACAACAATAAGTGTCCATATCTTGACATAATACTCTTGTCCGAACATTATTGATATTAAGTTCGTGCTGAGACTTTGGCCCCATTCAGAATAGGGGACTAGCTAGTCCGAGGGTCAAATTTGGCGACCCACTACAAAGCTTGCCGTCTAATCCGCTAATAGACACTGAATAGATATCCTGCGCTGAAGTTTCTAAGTGGTTCGGCCATATATGACCCTCGGACTAGTTAGTCCCCTATTCTGAATGGGGCCTTTTTTTACGATGCGATGTTTTCATTGGTTCCTGTGTGCTGTGTGGATACGTGCGTGCTGCTAAACTTAATTGAGTATTATTTTCCATTAACAATATACTCGATCAAACTAATTGTATTTTATTTTAAGCAAATACCAGTAGCGAGTGCTGTCGTCTGTGACCCTTTGGTGAACACTATGTTGCTTTAAGTGCAAAAAAAAAACAAAAGAAATGTAGAACAGTTTTCTATATGTTGGCCACATAAAAATACAAAAAAAAAATATAAAAAAGAAGAATGATTTTAAGTCGGATCTATCTTATTTAATTAAATAATAAATTAAATCAAATATGAAATTTAATTAAATATTAAATTTAATTAAATCTGCAAAAATATTATTGTCAGATTATTGTCAGAGTTTGAATAAATTTGTTGCTGTTCCAAATTATTTAATGTATAACTTAGTACGTGGGGGTAGGGATATTTTTTAGATTCAAATTCCTATTGTTGAAGTTTTATAATGGACGGATCGACAGGTTGATATATATATATATATATATATATATATATATATATATATATATATATATATATATATATATGACAAGAGACAGCTAGAAGTCACAAAATTTTTCAACACAGTCGTCTTTTTGTACCTTTCTTTACAACCTCAAAACCGTCAGGCGTGATTAAAAGGTTTCATAAGCCAGGTCCTTAAAATAGTAAACTACCCTCGTGTGTCTAATTATCATTTGACTCAGTGCGATGACGTGACTGGTAGCATGCAAATACTTCATTCAATTAGGCTGTCTGACCAACATGTTCCAATTCATTCATCAATCTTGTCGGTGGTATTTGGTTGAACTGTTCCCCTCTTACTGTAAATAACTCTCAATTTTGTTTGCATTCAGTGCGTTTTATTTTATCCCAGAAAGAACCATCCACTCGTGTGACATATGCATGCAGGGAAACGGTTAAAGGGTAATAATGCACGTCTCGCCTTTATATAGGCCTACTATTGGTTATACAATGTGGCCACACCTTTAAAAGTTTTATGATTTTTACTGAAAAATATATTTTTTTAGTCCTGGGATATGATGATTTTTTTACCACGTGCTAAACGTTGCATCATTTTACATTTAAAATAAACAATAACAATCTTGCATTTGTGTACATTTAGCTGTGTTTAAACATGACCCTCAAAAATTGGGCTCTAGATCTTTCCTGTATACTTAAAAATGAAATAAATTTGGGTTATATTTCAAAAAAATCTGACGCGAATTTATTTGCTAACAAATATACCTGTATGCAATCATCAACATTGATAGTGAGTGTGCAGCCCTGCAAACACGGAAAAGGCCTGGGACGAAAAAGGGTATGCTGCCTACAAGTGTCGCCAATCTTGTTCTTGGAAATACTGGTCCACACTTCAGCCAATTAGGCCTGTGTCAATTCTTGCACATTGGTAATTGCTTGATCTCTTCTTTTCCCTTCAAAATCCGCCACGGAGTACTCTATAGGATTCATATCTGGGGAGCGTTCAGATAAACCATTCGTACTAGATGGATTGATCCAACTCTGCGGGAAATTCTCCCCAAGTGCAATCACTGTAATTGGCTTAAGTATGTGAAACGCCACTTCAAGCTGTTGGGAGGTAATTAAGCCGAGCTCACATTTAATTACCCCCTAGCTACCCAAGGAGGCTTGGCAAACAAATAAGCTTATTACATTGAATGTAATTTAGCGAGAATCTCTCGCAGAGTTGGATCGATCCAGCTTGTACGATATTTGATTCTGAACGCGGTCTTAGATGGGTGTTTAATGGGCAGAATGTGGTTCTGTTGGACAAAAGACGTCACCAGGCGAGAAAGGTGAAGGCTTGCGCTGTCGGTTTGCCAGCGGAAATTGTTCAGGCACAGTCCTTGAGGGAGGTGAGATCGTCAACACATATTGTAATGAGCAGGTGTCTAACTATTTGCTATATATGTAATGCACATGATTGTAAAGTCTACTGAACATATGTATATGGAATTAAGACTTAAAATAAATAAATATAATAATAATAATAATAATAATAATAATAATAATTATTATTATTATTATTATTATTATGGTACCAAGTACATGTAGTTCTGGAGGATGTTTCTGCACAGTGACTGTTTGCCGCAGCAGAACCAATGAGCAAGAGCACTAGAGCTACAATGTAAGTGCTCCCAACACACGGACTGTGCAACCCCCAGCGACCACGGTTAATTGAATACTCTGTAGGAACCACCGTTCTCTGACAAGACGACGTACCCTAATAAGGCCATCACATGGATGCAGCTTGAATCATGGGTTTTGACTCATCAGCAAATGCTACATGATTCCAATGAGTCAATATAAGTTTCGGTTCCTCATGGCCCAACCCATTCTGTTACCACAATTGATTTGAGTTAACTTTGGTTTTTTTACCATTTTGTTTTTCGATCTGTACCCATGTTAAAGAAATTTATTGTTGACCTTAGTCCCGCTGCAATGCAACCGGCGAATGTTTTCCGGTTTTTCTGGCAATATTGAGCAAAGTGTGGCACTACTGTAGGTTGGGCAATATCTACTTTGCCTGTGGCAGCTCTTTTCTGGAAAATTATCATAGTCCTACCAGATACCCATTCTGACAACTTATTATGGCTTGCATTATGATCCTGACCTACCATCCTGACCTACCATCCTGATCCTGACCTATGTCTGACGGGCCTGGCATGGGCATAGCTTTGACTTGGTGTGTCTCATATACTCCACACTACGGCACAATATTATGGACAGCACACAATCTTACAGTCAAAACAAATTATAAGATTAAAACAAATATATTAACAAATAGAGAAACGTGCTGACCTTTGACCCAGGCAATGCCCAGTGGTCAGTGAATCCAATGGGTCAAGTATGGGTCAGGTGGTGTCCCGTAAACAGGGCAAAGATATCCGTTTCGTTTAGAAAACAATTTTTAAGGGTTGACAAAATGGCATAATGCAAAAATAACAATAATAATAATAATAATAAAATACTCAGAGAGAGAGAGAGAGAGCAGACCTCTGCCGAGGCGGGTTATTTCTCATTACTGTCAATTCTGACTGGTGGATCACCACCAAAATCTGATAGATACTTACCCAATTTCTGAACTATTCTAGAATGTGATAAAATTTGTTCTTTACACTTTGAGTTAAGTTTTTCATTAACAAACCAAGAAAGAGAGAAAGAGCCTCCTTGGTGGAGTTTTCTTAGAAGTTTTAATTTAAATGGTATACCACAGACAACCCGTTTTTGAGTGTAAAGTTTCCGATTTTGAATCGATTTTTGTAATGGTACTGTGAATTAATGTCACTCTTAAGGGTAAATTAAAGAATAGAAAATTAAAACTTGAAACCAGGTTTATAGATCGTACTTTTTTCAACTTTTTTTTTTGATACACTAAACCTCGTTGATTAAAAATATTGAAACCATAAGGAAAAATATACATAAATATACATGTATCATATGCCCTTTACAGTTCTAACTCCCATTGCATATCTTTAATAGTCCCGATGCACTGTATGTTGATGGCGGTGATTGCTCTCCCCGAAGGGCCATGCATACGAATGGCTCTTAGCACTGTCCCGTAGTCTGGGGACCCATTGTGACGATAATGCAAAGATGTTCTCATTAAATTCAATTGCTTTCAAACGATCATTGGCGCATCCAAGCACACATGGTTTTCGCCATAAAATACTAAGGGGTACCTTTGAGAAAAGAAATGCGTAATTATCGTAGGACTTCAGGGAGAGGCCGTGT